TCGGCCTATCCTTCCCCCTCCTGTGCTTGTCCCTGTCACGGATGACCTCCCAACTTTGTGTGTTTCGGGCCCCGAGGGTCTATGGGCGAGAGTCCTGGGAGTGTTGTCGCGAGTTGGGATGGTCCGGTCTGTTTGAAATACGCAGTTTTACAAAGATGGACAGCAACTTTAATTGTGTTTGGCCCTTTAATATACAAAATTGTAAGCAATGAGCAAGCGTACCCATCAAATATATTTTGATAGTTGTAACCAATTTCTACACGACAAATAAGATCCTTAGAAAGTAGCACAGCCCTCTCTATGGTATGGATTAACCAGAGCCTTATAGAGTCAAAATGCGCTCAGTTTCGTGTCTGCAATAATCACAGTCCTTATTCAATGTGCAGTAACAGGTAACTTAAGATATAATTTCTGTGCAAAGAAACACATTACTCATTTGAGCACTAACAAGTAGAACATACCTTTCCTACTTCAGGTTAGACCAGTGGTTCCAAAACCTTTGTAAGTTCAAGGCGCCCTTAATACTTCAATATTTTCTAAAGGCAGCCCAAGTCAAAATTTCTAGGTTGTATATCTGTACAGCGCTGTGGCATTTACTGGTGCTATAGTGTAATGTACAGTGTTGGTGTTTGAAGGGGTGCTTGTAATTTGTGTTTTAATACAGGGGTGTGTTTGTATGTAGTGTTCACTTTTTAATGCGGATGTACATTTGTGTGAAGTATGTTTTTGTGTTTGAGTGAAGGGGTGTGTTTGTATATTTTTGGGGAGTTTGTATGTAATATTTGTGTTAGATTGCAGGAGTATGTTGTGCTGGTGTTTGACTGCTTGGATGTATGCACACACACTACCACATACATACTTACACAGATATACATGCACATTAACTGACATATACACACACAAACATTTGTTTGTTGGTTTTACTGCCTTTAGTTTTGTCTTCAGTGTATGAAAGGCATGTTCAGTTGGGTTGAGGTCAGCACGGACTTGGCTATTAAAGAATATTTCACTTCTTTGCATTGAAAAGCACAGAGGTTTATTTACTAATATGTTGAGGATCCCTGTGTATCTGTTGTGTGATGCACACTGTCCTTGTGTAGCTGAATCTGAACAGATAGTATAGCTGTATACACTTAACAATTCATTCTGCTGCTTCTGTCAAGTCATGTATTCTATAAAAGCTAGTGACCCAGTTCTATTGACAGACATATAAGCCCATGCAATACTACTGCCTCCACCATATTTCACAGACAGTGTAATATGCTTCAGATCATGAGCTGTTCACTCCTTTTTCCATATGCTTCTCTTACGATCTTTCTGGTACACATCTAGGTTCATCACCTCAAAAGTTGTTTTAGAACAGTGCAGAATCTTTTTTTTTTTTTTTTTATGTTTTCTGGACTTCCAAGTCTTGATGCTTACCAGTGGGTTTCATCTGTATTTACTTTCATTAAGTGCACCAAACCTTTTGGTGTTGCTGGGCGCACCTGGTCTATGTGCAAAATCAATGATACAGCATCTCCTGATGTTGTTTTTTTTGTTTTTTTAGCCTAGAGCATTACTTGCTTTGGTAGCTCTTTGGTCCTCGTATTGAGAGTTCACAGCAACTTGAAACAAAGTACTTGAAAATTGTATATTTTTTTAAACGGCATGATTTTTATTGAAATGGCAAGAGAACAGACCATACCTGGCCGTGAAAACAGCTTCTCAGCCAGTTGTTAAATTGCTTTTGGTCCATTGAAAAAGAGGACCACACATAAGAAAGTGATGTAATTCCTAAACCTTTTACCTAATATCAATGTAAATACCATCAAATTAAAGTATGGCTTTCAATTACATTTCAAAACCATTGTAGTGACAAGCCAGGAGAAGAAAATGTAACAACCTAATTTTGTGACCTAAATCTAAATATTGTACTTACAACTCACATGACCAGCTCTGACAGTAACAGTATCGATGGCCTAATCAGGATGTCTCATCCATGACTCTATTCCAGTAGATGACTATCACATATGAACAAGAGGCTGCCACTACAATAAATGTGTTTATTTCCATAACATTATATGCGTAAAAATCAATAGTAAATTGGCATTAAATTCAGTGTTCCTTTAATCATCATTACAAAGGGCTACTCCACTCATCTTAAGCACTACAGCTCGCCACAATAGCATTGAAGCTAGGAGTTCTCCAGTACAATCAATCTGTTATAGGGCAAACCGTTAGACCTGCGTCCTGCTGGGCACTGAACTTCCCTGGATGCCAATTTGTCACTCATTCATTGGTCTAGGACCAGCAAAGTATGTAAGTCGCTCAATGTTTGCAATGTGAAATGCATGGCGCATGTATAGCACATCTCGAGAAAATTTTTGAAAATGCATGCTCTTGTACTGAATTTCTCAGGTGCAAATGTGTAACCAATTTGGCGGAGATAATTTAGTTCATTTACTTAGCTGCATTATTCACCCCAGTAAAGGTTGAATTAACGTTTACTGGGGTGAAGGAAAAAGGAATTGCAATTTCTATGAAAGTTGACAGCTTTTCTTTAAAATGCATTCCTAAAAATGCCTTCAGTCCCCTACTAATACACATAAACTATATATATTTAAAAATGTTATATTCTTGAGTATAAATATTTCCATAGCCTTGAAAGCTTTAAGCCGCATGTTTCCTGGTAAACCCTGCCATTTAGATCAGCTATCAACCTTTTGTCAGCTGACATTTTGTAGGTATACTCAGTGGCGGCTCTAGACACTCTGGGGTCTTAGGTGATACTCAAAGTGAGAAAATAGGGGTTGCATTGCCTGTATAAGGAGCAGTAGTTATATTGAAGGGCAGGACTGCAGCGCTGGATACAGAGACTCTGTATTTATTGTTCAGAGGCTTGTACTGTTGTGTCTCTCTGTGCCGCTGTGTTGAGAGCTCTTTCTGTAGTTATGCCAGTTTTGTATAGGGATTATTGGAAAAATTAAAAATTAAATTTTAGTTAAGCAAAAAAAGCTTTTAAAAATAATTAACCAAATAATAGTTATAGATAAAGATTCACAACATATTGTATATTAATTTCAAATACATATCAAACATATATATATATGTTTGTGTGTTGCCAATCTACCTTTGAATTGCCGTACCATCCTCACATTGCGAGCCATAAACACACAATAATATATACACACATATACATACTCTGATACACTCATGAATGCATACACACTAATGCACAGAGACATACAGACATAAAGTCACAATTTGTATCTGGGTGTGTGTATTTAAGTGTGTCTGGCATTGTCTACCTGTGTATGTGCCTGAGTGTGAGAGTCTGACAGAGTATCCTTGTGTGTAAATGTATGTCTCTGTGTTCCTATTTATAATCATAGTTGGTATGGATGTCTAATGGGTTAAAAAGAACAGATGGTACTTTTCTATGCTTTACCATGAAAACTCTAGAATGTGGTAATTTCCATAACATTATATGCGTAAAAATCAATAGTAAATTGGCAGTAAAGTTTCCATAACTTGCTTTCCATGCCTGTAGTGGTCCTTCAAAATGCATTTCACTCCTCCAGTATGGCTTTCTCAGTTGGTGTGAACTACTCCTCTCAATTTCCTCTGTATTTCCATATTTGCCTGCAAACATTGGCAACGTTACCCTGTCAACATGTAAAAGTTCTTTGTGTGTTTCTGTGATTATATCAATTCTCACAATACTTGTATTGCTCAACTACTTCATTGTGCTTTTATTGCTGGTCATATATCTTTTTCTGTTTATTAATGTGTGGAAGTGTGATTTTTGTATTATCTGTGCAGCAAAGGTATTCAAGCCTTAGTATCTTAGCACCATAATCACAAAAATAATCTCTAGTGGTTATGGTGGTTTGAATGCAATAATGACAATTACATCTTTAATGGTTTTGACACACAATATTTTTTATGATTTAACTAATCTTCTAAAAATAAAATTTGCTGTTTATCTTAAAATACACTTACTGATTTATACACACATTGTGCTTTTTAGCCTCTACTTTATTAAAGTTTTTAAAAGTAGGTATGTGGTTTTTTTTTTTTTTTCTCATGTGGCAGGAGCGCTGCCTTTTATTATATATAATTTTTTATTGATCTTATATATGGGCACTGCATACAAACTCATGTTTAAGCAAAAGACTATACATTTTTTATTTCCTTACATTTTCCTCTCTCTTTAGTGCATTTTTATTACCCTCACCACTCTTTGCACCGTCCCTATCTTCTGTCCCTACAGTATTGGCAAAGACCTTGACCGTCATCCTGAGCGTCGAATGAAAGCAGCCTTCACAGCCTATGAAGAAATAAACTTGCCCAGACTGAAGCAGGAGAATCCAAACATGCGCCTATCCCAGCTCAAACAACTCCTAAAGAAGGAATGGATGAAGTCACCCGAGAATCCAATGAATCAGCGACATGCAACATACAATGCAAACTAACAACCCTTGTAACTTATATCATATCATATGAACAACTATGCCAACTATTGTCTGCCCCAACTTCTTCAAGAAGGGGATTGTAGCTAAACACAAGCTATATATTTGTGTTAATGGGCGGTTGTATTTCTTTTTTTCGGAGGGGGTGGTCTCTGTGTAGGAGTCCACAATGAACTGTCATATAGTGAACGTGACCTGGGTGTGCCAAAAGGTTTTCTGGGGAAGTATAAAGATAATAGTAAAGACTGGTTTATGAAGAAATTTGGTTCATGGCCAAATTTCAACCTTTTGTACCATACTGGTCTCCAACATATATTAATATATAGGATCATTATTGAGTCCAATCCACCCAAACAAAAGAATATTATTTAAGAATTATGCACCTGATGTTTAATAAATGTAATGAATTTAAGACGGTGATTAATGTTGTGGCTATGCAATTGTTTTTGTCTAAAAGCTTGAGGTGATTGACTGCAGCTTTAAACACAGTTTGCTGAATTGCCTTATGTTTGGAGTGTGTCATATTTGTGACCATTTATGAAAGTGCTGATTTCTATATGAAGCTAACAGAGATGGTATGCGGTCTAGGATAGCACTCGTCGGCCTTCCCCCATTCTCAATGATCTGTATGGCGGCTTATAGAGAAGCATAGGAAAGCTGCAATCTCATGCTCCAACACAGAACCTTCTCGATGAGCAGCCTATTATTGTTATATGTAAAGCATCAACAAATTCTATAGCGCTTTACAATAGGTGAACTAGCATACATTTTTTTTATTTGCAGCAAGACGAGCTGGACACACAGGAACAGAGGGTGTCAAGGGCTAGAGAGATTATTGGAGTGAAGGTCTGTGCTGGGGAATGAGAGTAGGGCTTGCAAAGGCAGCAAACCGCATGTCTGATTTTGAAAACCTGGATGGAAAAAAGACATGCATGTTTTCTATGAGGATATCTACTAAATTGTTAAAATTAAATTCAGTGTTCCTTTAATCATCATTACAAAGGGCTACTCCACTCATCTTAAGCACTACAGCTCGCCACAATAGCATTGAAGCTAGGAGTTCTCCAGTACAATCAATCTGTTATAGGGCAAACCGTTAGACCTGCGTCCTGCTGGGCACTGAACTTCCCTGGATGCCAATTTGTCACTCATTCATTGGTCTAGGACCAGCAAAGTATGTAAGTCGCTCAATGTTTGCAATGTGAAATGCATGGCGCATGTATAGCACATCTCGAGAAAATTTTTGAAAATGCATGCTCTTGTACTGAATTTCTCAGGTGCAAATGTGTAACCAATTTGGCGGAGATAATTTAGTTCATTTACTTAGCTGCATTATTCACCCCAGTAAAGGTTGAATTAACGTTTACTGGGGTGAAGGAAAAAGGAATTGTAATTTCTATGAAAGTTGACAGCTTTTCTTTAAAATGCATTCCTAAAAATGCCTTCAGTCCCCTACTAATACACATAAACTATATATATTTAAAAATGTTATATTCCTGGTAAACCCTGCCATTTAGATCAGCTATCAACCTTTTGTCAGCTGACATTTTGTAGGTATACTCAGTGGCGGCTCTAGACACTCTGGGGTCTTAGGTGATACTCAAAGTGAGAAAATAGGGGTTGCATTGCCTGTATAAGGAGCAGTAGTTATATTGAAGGGCAGGACTGCAGCGCTGGATACAGAGACTCTGTATTTATTGTTCAGAGGCTTGTACTGTTGTGTCTCTCTGTGCCGCTGTGTTGAGAGCTCTTTCTGTAGTTATGCCAGTTTTGTATAGGGATTATTGGAAAAATTAAAAATTAAATTTTAGTTAAGCAAAAAAAGCTTTTAAAAATAATTAACCAAATAGTTATAGATAACAAAAACTTTCACAACATATTGTACATTAATTTCAAATACATATCAAACATATATATATATGTTTGTGTGTTGCCAATCTACCTTTGAATTGCCGTACCATCCTCACATTGCGAGCCATAAACACACAATAATATATACACACATATACATACTCTGATACACTCATGAATGCATACACACTAATGCACAGAGACATACAGACATAAAGTCACAATTTGTATCTGGGTGTGTGTATTTAAGTGTGTCTGGCATTGTCTACCTGTGTATGTGCCTGAGTGTGAGAGTCTGACAGAGTATCCTTGTGTGTAAATGTATGTCTCTGTGAGAATGTGTATGTTTGTGTCTGGGGCTGTATGTGTGTGGGATAACTGCTAGTAGTGTAGAGTGGCGTGGTATGTTATGGGAAGGGGGGTGCTGCGTGTGGTCTCTGTGCATTGTGGTTATGGCAAAGCTATGTTTCATGACTGTGAGTGAAGAAAGTGACAGAGTGAGGGGGTGAATAAGACAAGGTGGGGGTATGATTGTTACAGAATGAGGGAGGGTACCATTGTACAGCGCTACGGAATTTGCTGGCGCTATATAAATAATAATGACAGGGTTGGGGGGTTAGTGTGACATGGTTGGATAAGAGGGGAGGTGAGTGACAAGGAGGGAGGTTAACACCACTCTAGGCAACCAACCACAACAGACTTCTTCACTTAATGACCCCTGCAAGGTCCATTCTACGGAATTTATACATAGCCATGCACCACATAGCTGTGAGGTCCAGAAACTGCACACTGCTATTTTATGAATGGGTTAAGCCTTCCCCCAAAGCCGCTAGAAGCGCTTGCTTGCTTCTCACTGTGATTTTCACAGTGAGAGCACGCCAGCGTCCATAGGAAAGCATTGATAATGCTTTCCTATGCGACCGGCTGAATGCGCGTGCGCATTCAGCCGTCGGGGAGAAGAGGAGGAGGATCGGAGGCAGAGAGCTCCCCGCCCAGCGCTGGAAAAAAGGTAAGTTTTTACCCCTTTCCCCCTTCCAGAGCTGGGCGGGAGGGGGACCCTGAGGGTGGGGGCACCCTCAGGGCACTATAGAGGTCCTTTAATGTGACAGGGTGTGGTATGGTTGATGAGGTGAGTATCACTGGGTTGGGGTGAATGTGGTATAGTTGGAGGAGGAAGTGTGACAGGATTTGGGAGATTTATTTCATAGGGTGACATACAGTGCATCCACTATAAACATGCACACAATGCATTCATCACACACACACACACTGCATCCTCTACACCAGGGGTTCTCAACGTTATGTTATGAAGTGTGTGTAGAGCAGGGGTTCTCAATGTTAGTCCTCAGGACCCCCTACCAGTCCAGGGTTTAGGGATTACCTGGGTGTGTCTAAGGTGTTTAAGGTGTTTTTTTTTTTTTTCTAAACACCTTAGACACACCCAGGTAATCCCCAAATCCTGGACTGGTAGGGGGTCATGAGGACTGGGTTGAGAACCCCTGCTCTACACACACTTCATAACATAATGAATGAGTGCGTGTACACATGTATAGGAGGGGCTGACACTATTGTGTGGGTGAAGGTTATGTTTTAGTGACCAGCTATTTTTGTGTTGCAATGCATTGGCTTGGTTTTACATTAAAAAGGATCCGTGCTCACTGTGCCTGAAGGGGTATTGGTCACACCTCGCTGATACGGACCCAAAAAAGGCGAAAATGATCGTCCAGGGTTGTTTCATCTTTCTTGCAGAGAAAACCTGCCGGCATTTCAGTTCTGGACTGCCCTTAGGGGTGGGATCAGTCTGATGTGCAATGGTATAGGTTCACTCTCTAATGACAACCTATTTTGAGACCTGATAATTTCAAGTCTTATACGTCCATAACACACACTTCATAACATAATGGATGGGTGAGGGGGAGGCGGCATGTCATCCTTTTGATCCAGGCAGCACAATTTCTTGGGCTGGCCCTGCCTATACCACCAGCAAGGCTTTAAACGTTACTTGCTACTGCAAGCCAAGAGTGTCACAGTCCACCTGGGGTGAATCTCTACTCAACAGGGCAAAATTTCCACTCACCAAAGTCTAGTGGAAATTGTGAGCCCCGATGGAGAGTGTGTATGCTGAGGAGGTGTTGTCAAGACCTTTTAAAGATGAAAAAAAACAAAAAAAAAAACAGTATTCTAAACTAAATTTTAAACACACAGTAAGTCTGTATAAGGATTAAGAGGAAAAATGCATCATTGGGAGTGATGTTGGCATATGACAGCAAAGAAGAATGAATACCAGTAATCAAGATGAGTGCAAGAACACCACCTTTTCACGCATCTTTGTTAGAACACAGCAAATGTAGACTATATGTTTAAGATGCAAGCGACAGGATTAAAAGATTCAATTTGAGTGAAATAGAGGCCAGTGTAAAAATAATCCTGATAGAGCTTCTGGGGTAGAGTTCATAGTTACATTGCTGTGAAGGGAGACAGAAAAGGGAGGGTTAGTTCTTGAAGGAAGAAAGGGAAGTTCATTTGAAGGATTAGGTTTCAAGAAATGGGAAGACATCCAGTAAGAGACAGATGAGAGGCAATTTGTGACATGATCCAAGAGGGAAAGAGAGAGATCAGGGGACAAATGGCATATTTGAGTGTCATCAGGATATATATGGTACTGGAAGGCAAAGTAAGTAATCATGATGTACTGTAATCTGCAGTATCTAACTCTATATCAAAAAAGAAAAAGACGCTGAAGGAAGTGGGAAAAAAACCTTTATAAGAGAGCATGGGCGTCCGCAGGGGGGAGCAAGGGCGCTTACCACCACCACCCCTCCCCCCCCTGGATTTTTCAGCTTGTTCTGACGTTTTTCGTGTGAGATTTAAAATGAACTGCAATACCGGCGCCGGCCAGTAGATGGCGCTGTGTATGGAGAGAGACAGGGATAGGAAGCTGCATCTTATCCCTGCTTCTCTCTGCTGATTGAAACCGCAGGGGAACAACACATGCAGCCAGAGACAGCCTACAGATCAGGTAAGTGAGGGATGGGGGGAGGGTTTGAGATAGCCTATAGATTTGGGGGGGCAGCAGCCTATAGATTTGGGGGGGCAGCAGCCTATAGATTTGGGGGGGTAGGGCAGCAGCCTATAGATTAGGGGAGTGAGCATAGGCGTGCGCAGCCTATTGCATTAGGGTGTGCACCCTAAAGCACAAACACACGCCATGTGTATATGTATGTGTGTGTGTGTATATATATATGTATATATACACACACTGCTGTGAGGGTGCTGTTAGTGTGCTGTGTGTGAGGGTGCTGTTTGTGAGGGAACTGGTAGTGTGCTGTGTGTGTGTGTGTGTGTGTGTGAGAGGGTGTTTGTGTGTGCGTGTTTGTTCGGGTCCTGTTAGTGTGCTGTTTGTGTGCTGTGTGTGGGTGTTGTGTGTTTGTCAGGGTGCTGTTTGTGTGTGTGTGCTGTTTGTGGGTGCTGTGCGGGTGTTGTGTGTGGGTTTTGTGTGTTTGTGAGGATGCTGTTAGTGTGCTGGGTGTGTGTGGGTGTTGTATGTGTGTGGGTGCTGTGTGTGCGAGGGTGATGTATGTGTGTAGGTGCTGTGTGTGTGTGTGCTGTATGTTTGGGTGGAAGTGGGGGCAGATTAGTTAATATCCCAGTCCTGCTGCCTTCCCTGGTGGTTCAGTGGAGAGTGAACTCTAGCCCAGGTTCTCTGCTGCCTCCCTCCATGCTGCTGTGGACCGGTGAGGTAGAACTTGATCTCCCCACCGGCCCATGGAGGCTTAGACCAGAGCCGCCGCTCGGATAGCGTTGGCTCTGCATGAGCCGACTGGGGAGATCCAGAGATCTCCCCTGCCGGTCTCAATCCATTGGCGTGCCGCGGGGATTAGGGTGTGCCCAGGCACACCCGACACACCCCGTGCGCACGCCTATGGAAGTGAGGGATGGGGGAGACAGCCTACATGAAAAGTCAGCAAGGAGCAGGAAGGTAAAGTAAGAAAAGGAGAAGGAACAGAAATGAGCAGGAAGGGACATCAAGGAGCAGCAAGGAGCTGGAAGGGACAGCAAGGAGCATAAAAGGTAAAGTAGGAGAAGGAGCACAAAGGATCAGAAATCAACAGGAAGGGTCAGCAAGGAGCTGGAAGGGAAAGCAGCACAAAGGTAAAATAGAAGGAGCAGAAAGGGTCAGAAATGAGCTGGAAGGGGCAGAAGGCGCACAAAGGTAAAATAGGAGAATGAGCAGGAAGGGCCTGCAAGGAGCACAAAGGTAAAATAGGAGAATGAGCAGGAAGGAGCACAAAGGTAAAGGAGCACAAAGGTAAAATAGAAAAGGGAGCAGATCAGAAGGGCGCTAAATAAGCAGAAAGTAGCAGAAAGGTAAAAGAGCAGAAGGGGCCAAGGATAGAAAACAGTGTCAGAAGAAAAAAAAAAAGACTGTCAAATGAAGGAGAGGAAAAGGAGATTGGAGCAGGAAGGACAAATGAAGTGAACCTCCACTTTATTCTGGACACCACATCATAAGGCTTTGGTACCTGGGCCAGGCAAGGAAACGCTGGATCTTCTCATCTCCAAAGGTAAAAAAATATCAGTATTAATGTGTTCACTTTTATTTACTGAGTGTCAGGAAGCACAGAGTGCCGTTGGCTTGCTGATTGGCTAGAGCGGTCAGCTGGCACTCTAAGCCAATCAGTAGCTCCCCATTCATAAAAAGTAAAAATATTTTATGAACCGGGAACTAGCGATTGGCTTAGAGCGTCAACTGTCCACTCTAGCCAATCAGCGGCACCCATTCCTGACGTCAATCTGCACTTCCTGACACTCTGTTTCAGAAGCCAAATACCACTGAGCGACCTGGAGCTGGAGGAAGCCTTTGAGGTTAAACCATTTGAGAGCGATTTAACCCCTTAAAGGAAAGCGAGCACCCAGGGGCTTCCTGGTATCATGGCCTTTTCATTTAGGTGAAGT